GGACCTTCTCTGCCGGGCGGCCGGGGTTCCTCACCTCGTGCGGGCAGGGCGACGGTGGCGCTGTCACTGGTGCACCTGGACCCCAGGGGTCGCGCTGTCTTCGGTCCTGTCAGCTTCCCACTCCCGGAGGTGGGGACTCGGAGAGGAAGGGCACGACGGGCGGAAAAGGTGGGCTGCCTATGCCAGAGGGGGGAACTTGCAGTAGGGGCAGGGCGAGAGCAAGTGATCCTGGAGTTCTGAAGCAGTGGTCTGACGTCTCAGAAGTTACTAAGGCATGAAAATACCAAGATAAGAAACGCTCCAGCTGGGGGGCTGGGGGTTTAGCTCAGCGGCACAGCGCCTGCCTGGCAAGCGCAAGGTCGTGAGTTCGATTCCCGGTACCGGAAAAAAAGAAAAAAAAAAAAAATCAAAAAAAAAAAAAAAAAAAATAGAAACGCTCCAGCTGTAGGTCAAAAGGAAAGATGCTTCCAGATTGGAAAAGGCAAACAAATCTATTCAAGAAGAGTATATCCGCTCATTAAGACCAAAATTCTTTAATTGCCTGTGGTAAATCACAAAATGGGTAGGACGGCTAATGTAGGAAAGTGTAAGTGAACGTGAAAGTGTCCAAGGGTCGTTGTGAGTGTCTGAGGTAGAGACGAGAGTCAGGTGAGAGGAGTAAAGGGGCATCTTTCCATCACGTTCCTTATTTATTTGTAGTTATGAGGACCACTGGGGAAATTCTTGCAAGATGAAGAGCGTGAGTGGCTTCGATGAAAAAAACTTTAAAAAGAAGCAGTTATGTTGGTGTTTAACTTAAGTGAAATTTTACATCTTTTATGTTTTGCCTGAATACAGTAGTGATCTAAGTTCGTCACTCCTGGTACAAGTTGTTAATGCGTTTAAATGAGGGAATCTACTTTATGGACCTTCTAGCAGTAAATCACAGGCACATAACCTTTACATACAACTAATACTTAAAATACTACCAACTACCTTCAACACTCACACACACTCTTTTGTGGATTAGGGAGTAGCATTAAACTTATGTTCTGATTGACCAAGTCAGAACTTCTGACTATAGTTGATTTGGGAGCAGACTAAGAAGGTAGAGAACATTCAGATAGTATTTTCTTCTTTTTTAAATTTTTTTTTTCTTTTTAGAGATAGTATCGTGCAGTTTTAAAACATCACACTCAGAAAACTAGAAGTACATGGACCTACTCCTGGAGATGTAAACATGTACTGCAAACATGTAGTACTGATAAAATTTTTTTAAAATGTAGAATGCTGGTTTCACTACTTACTACTGTCATTTTGGACAGATTTACTCTCAATACCTGTTCCTCACCAGTAAAAGAAGTTAGTAGTCTCATAGGTCATTATGAAAATTAAATGAGTTAGTACAGTGTATTTAAAACAGAACGGTATGCCTGGCTTGTAATAAACATTCCATAAATTCAGTTTTTATTTTATCCACTTATTTACTTATTTATTGTCCATTTTTATTTACTTACATTTCTATTGCTTAGTGTGTATGAAAATTTGTGTAACTGGTTGTAATAGTTAAGTATAATACTAAAGTTTTGTGCCTTACCCTTCTCAATTCTCCTGTATTACATTTTAGTTGTCTTGCCTTTTATATAGGTAAGCTTTCTCTATCTGAAAACTTACATAATCTTTTTATTCCTGTTAGACATTTTTACAAAAAAGACCTTTTTTCATTAATTGTGCTAAACACTTAAGGGCCCTTTCAATGTGGAAACTCAAGTCTAAAAGTTTTGTGTAAAGTTTTCTTGTACTATTTCTTTGATATTTTTTCTCTTCTGTTTTTCTGAAATTACTGTTAGTCTGAATTTAAAACTCCTTTGATTCCAATGCTAATCTTTATTGTATCCCAGTTTTAGTGTTTAGGAAAGATATCCTTGAGTTCATCTTCTAATACCCTACTGAACTGTTTCAGCTGTGCTAGTGTTTTAATTCAAAGAACAGTTTTGTGTTCTCTGATGCTCATGTGTTATGGATATTCATGGCTGCTATAATTTCTGTTATTAGGATATAATTATAGTTTTGTTTTACCTTTTTTGTGTGTTGCTTTGTTTCTTCTAGGTTCTTTTTCCTGTTTGATTTTGTAAGCTCTCACTTTTATTTTGAAAGTTTCCCTTACGTATTTATCGTTGTTGCTCAAAAATTATTTGAAAACCACTCAAAAAAGTCTCTGTAAATGAATATGGCTTTTCTTTGCCCCATCCTCCCTCCCTTTTTTCTTTTTTCTAAACGGGGTTTCTCTGTGTAGTTCAGGTCAGCCTTGAACTCAGTGTGTAGCCCAGGCAGACCTCAGACTTGAGATTCTCCTGCCTCATCCTCCTGAGTGCTGGGATTACAGGTGTGTGCCACCATGCCCAAGTGAATATGGCTTTTCATCTGGTGATCCAGACTTCATTAGAGCAGCATTCAGATGTCAGTATTTTCTAGCACTTTTTCTTTGGTATCGCTGAACTTCTCCAAGGAATAAGAGAGGTAAGAGAGGCAGTAATCTGGATGCAGTCACATATGTATGTATGCATGTATAAGAGCATGTGTGTTGGAGGAATATCTTATGGTATACTTACATATTATTTTCTAATCATCTGTTTGCACTATGACCTGTTATAGGTCTTTCTGCCTGTTATAGGTCTTTCTGTTTTCAAAGGTATACCCTTCTGGGGTTTTTTGTCTTCCATTTGATCTCAGTGCCCACATCATGACTTTGCACCCCTAAGTCAATTAACATGGTTCCATCTTCGATTTTACAAAACTGTGGTGAATCCTCTTGATCATTTTAGTCTCCTTTTCTCTTTCCTATTCTTTGTATACTTACACGTTTTTTTTGGTCCTTTACTGTGACTCCGGTGTGGTCGGGGGAGGAAGTAGTTGAAAGAGACAGGGTTAATCTGCCACTTTTCAAAAATATTATTTTAAACCTTTGCTGCTGCTTTATAGTATTTATTTATTTTTTTATAGTGGTATACAAGCGGTGATCAGAATATATAATGGGTGTTTAAATGATAAAAATATTTATTACAGTGAAAGGTAAATTGCCACTAATCTCCTTTAAAATAATCCCCTTGCTTTGAACACACTTATCCCATTGTTCTTGCCACTTTCTGCAGTAGTTCTGGAAGTCCCCTTTCATGAATGTCCTTACTAGGTCTGGTCAAAAAGACAGTGAATGCTACTGCTTGGAAGAATGTTACTGTATGTCCTCATTCACCATTCACCTTATTCGTGGGACCTGACACTGGTGCAACTTCTGGACTCTTCCACAAAGGCAAAATGACCATAAAAGGTAAACCTTGTGAATCGCACGACATTGAGAGAGCCACAACAGCACAACTAAAGGCACTTAAAAGAGAAGGATTTCCAGTACGACTTCAAAAAGTGGCAAGAACAATGGGATAAGTGTGGCACGAACAACTAGATAAGAGGGAGTATTTTGAGGGAGACTAATGGGGATGTGTCTTTTACTGTAATAAATTTTTAAAAATTTAAACTTCCTCCATATTTTTCTGTCGTATCTCCTGAATGATCCTTTTTGGTGTTTCAAATGAAGGCTAAGAACTTTTGATTTATACAGCTTCTTTTGAAAAGCATTGTATTATACAGAGCATAGCCTGACATAAATATGAACTTACGTATGTTACAAGAATAATTTAACTGATGAGAATGAAAAGCGGTAGCCTATAGAATTATAATTGTATTACCATAGCATTAAATATTTCTGTTTTAAAGACATTGGCTATCAACTTCCAATAAAAGGCCTTTCCTGACTCCATCCACATATTAAATACCCTTGCTTATCCTGTGCTCTTGGATAATGACTTTTTTTGTTAAGTATCTGTTTGTTCTTTGTATTCTCTGCTTGTCTTAGTCCTTTAAGGAGAAACACTGTGTTGGTCTTGGTCATCTTCGTATCTTTGTTCTTTGAGTTGAAGTTGAGCTCTGGTAGCCACAATAAATATTTGTTGAATTAAATCAGCCTGTAGTAAATATTTGTGTAGGGCATACACCTTACAAGGCACAACCACATTCTGTGATAATTAATTGTTTAATGTTTTGTTCAGCTAGAGTATTTACAGCATTAGGATTGGGAAGACTTCAGTTAAGGTTAAAATTCCAGTCTTTGGGAGACCAGATCACATGACACTGTATTTATTTTAATTGTGCAAGTTTGGCTTGCCAAAAATTTTCAGTAAACCATGGCCTTGAACTGTATTAATATTATAAAGAGATATTGATAAGATTCTTCTTAGAACTTTAACACTTTAGCCTCGAAGCACTATTTTTATTAGTGAAGAAATATTTGCTGTAGGACTTCCTTTTTGTTTCAATCTCAGAATAAAATAATGGATTGCTTAACACACTGTAATCTGACATTTAGAGATTATACAGGATAAGTAATTTTTTTAAAATTTAAAGACGTTTTGAGCAACTTAGTTTTACTCTGGAATGGAAAATAAGTTAGAACAATTTTGTATATTCCTATAATTCCCCAAAATCATGCGTTTTAGAATTTTCTTTTTTCAATAATATATATTATGTTAATTGTCCTTGATATGCTGAACATAATTACATTTTCTGGACTTGGAAAAGTATTATGGAAGATCAGTTATGTTAGAGGGCATGGTTCTAATGATTAACATTTATGTATTACGTATGTATGTGTATATATGGTACTGAGGATCCAACCCAGGGCTTCATGCATAGCAAGCACCTGCTGTACCATTGAAGTACATTCCAGCCCTAAACAAATTTTTTAAAAACTTCTGTGTGAAGCAGCTTCTTTTAATTTCATAGTCATATTATATCCCATTTGGAAAACGAATAAATGTGTCCATCCATTTATTGATCTGTCCATTTGTTCATTCAAATAATTTATTCAGAGACTATTTATTGAGATATAGTAGCCACTAGAGGTTTAGTGATACATAAAATAATGTTAATATACTTTTGCATTTTATAGTCTGGTGGTAAAATTATGTGATGGAAAAATTAGACTATACTATGGAAACATACAAGAAAGACATACAATCCAGACTTGAGACTTTAAAGGAGGGCTTGGAGAAGGTGACATCTAAACTAGAACTTGAAAAATGAGTAGGAATTATTAGGTAAAGAGGGAGACAAGAAGGCTGAGCTGAAGGAAAATA